CTTCTCCTTATATACAGGAAGCAGACCACATACCCAAAGACAGCTACTCAGCTGCTCATAGTAGATTCCACCATGGAGTTGATTACCAGTCCAGTCCCATCATGGGGAATACTACATCGAGCTGCCCAGCCACTCAACCAGGCCCAGCCAAGTTGACACATAAACCAAACTACCTCAGTAGGTGAAAAGTGGCCTTAAGATGTGGTCTACTTGCAGTATACAAGGAGAAATTCTGAAAATGGTCTCTGAGCTTTTTGGCACACTTGGACCCTCCATGTACCTGACTCTTTATTCTGCAGCCTGTGATTTTTTCTGCCAATCTTTAAACTGTCTCTGGACTTGAACTAGTGGCCTGCCATGATGTTTGGTAATCTTGGGACTGTGCCATTTTATTTGTCAACCTTGGGTTTGTCAGCCTCAGCAGCCATCAGTTACCTGAGTTGAGAAAAGACTTTAACTTCTAGCAAGAAGTAGTGCTGAAGCCAAAGGTTGAGGGGCCTTCACTACACCTAGAGCTGGCACTTTGAACTCAGGCTTCTAGCCTCCTTTCCTGTAACAGAATAAACTCCTGTTTGTTAAGGCCACCCATCTGTATATTATCTAATGAGTGGCAATAGAGAACCAAAACATGCACCTTATGTTTTCAAAGTGATATCTTTGTTCATCTTTTGCAGTAGACTGGCCCTGTGCCATGTGACGTCTGACTTCCTGACTGCTTCTTCCATGGGTGTTGATTATGGATCCAAGTAAAATGAAATCCTTAACATCTTCAATCTTTAATCTGTTTATAATCATGCTGCTTACCGGTCCAGTGCGAGGATTTTCATTTTTTTTTATGTTGAGGTGTAAGCCAAAATGCAGACTCTAGTCTCTGATTTTCATTAGTACAGTTTCCAATTCATCTTCATTTTCAGCAAGGAAGGTTTCATCATCTGCATATCACAAGTGGTTAGTGAGTATTCCTCCAATCCTCATGCTACATTTTTCTTCATACAGTCAGGCTTCTTGGATTATTTACTCAGCATACGGAAGAATACAACCCTGGTGCACCCCCTTCCTGATTGTAAACAATGCAGTATCCCCTTGTTCTGTTTGAGTGACACCCTCCTGGTCTATGTATAGGTTGCTGAGGAATTCCATTCAGTGTTTTGAAGTTCCCATTCTTCCCAACATTATCCATAATTTGATAGGCTCCACACAGTCCTATGATTTTGCATAGTCAACAAAACAAAGGTAAACATCTTTCTGCTACTCTTTGCTTTCAGCCAAGAGCCATCTGATATCAGTAATGACCTCCCTGGTGCATGTCCTCTTCTGAATCCAGCTTGCATTCTGGAAATTCCCTGTTAATATACTGCTGCAACCATTCTTCAACTATCTTCAGTAAGATTTTACTTGCATGTGATATGAATGAAACAGTTAGCTAATTTCCACATTCTGTGGGATCAGCTTTCTTTGGAATGAGTACAAATACAGATCTCTTCTCATCAGTTGGCCAGTAGCTATCTTCCAAATATCTTGGCATAGACAAGTGAGTGCTTCCAGTGTGACGTACGTTTGTTGAAATATCTCAATGAGTATCCCATCAATTCCTGGAGCCTTCTTTATGGCCAATTCCTGCACTGTAGCTTTGACTTCTTTATTCAATACCATTGGTTCTTGATCGTACGCCACCTCCTGAAATAGCTGAACATCAACCATTTTCTTTTCTATGGTGACTCTGTTTCCTTCAATATTCTTTTCATGTTTTCTGCAACATTCAGTAAGTTATCCATAGAACCCTTCAAGACTGAATTATTTCATATCTTTCAGCTTGAGAAACACCAAGCATGTTCTTCCCTTCTGGTTTTCCAACTCGAGGTCTTTGTATGTTTCATTAAAATAATTGACTTTGTCTTCTCAATCTACTTTTTTTATTTTTATTTTTATTATTTTTATTTTTATTTATTTATTTTTTATTAGGATTTGGGTGAAGATTTACAGAGTAAATTCACTTTTCATACAGCAGTTCACATACACTCTGTCTCATGTCATTGACCAAAATTTACAATGCAGCAGCTCCCCTCCCACTTCCTCCCCACAGTTACCTCCTCCCAGTGTCCATCCCTTCATACTCTTCTGCACCCTGAGCTATCTCCCTGTGCATAAGCAGCCCTTCCTTCTCCCATTCAATCTACTTTTTGAAATCTTTTGTTCAGTGCTTTTATCTTGTCATTTCTTCCATTTCCTTTAGCTACACTCCATTCAGAAACAAGTTTCATTAGGTTATCTTTCAATTGTTGGTGTTCAACACATCAAACCAATTCTTCAGATGGTCTCTAAACACAGGTGGGATGTAATGAAGGTCATATTGTGGCTTTTGTGGAGATTAGTTTCTTCAGAAACAGCTTGAATTTGTGTAGGAACAACTGATACTCTATTCCCTCTGTCAACTCCTGGCTTTGTTTCAGCTGAATATACTGAGCATCTTTGTCACCTCTCTGCAGAGATATACTCAATCTGATTTCTCTGTATTCCATCTTGCATGGTCCATGTACACAGCCACTGTTTTTGTTGCTGAAAAGATATCTGCAATAAAAAAGCCATCAATTGATGCAAAACTCTATCCTGTGATCTCCAGAATCACTTCCATCAGAAGACCACATTTTGCAACTACTGATTCTTCTTTGTTTCTCAC